CAGACACATAGACACAGACACACACACACACACACACACACACACACACACACACACACACACAATTAAAAATAATAAGAATAATTTATTTTTTCAAGACAGGGTTTCTCTGTAGCTTTTGGAGCCTGTTCTGGAACTCACTCTGTAGTCCAGGCTAGACTCGAACTGACAGAGATCCACTTGTCTCTGCCTCCCGAGTGCTGGAATTAAAGATGTGCACCACTCTGCCCAGCAAGAATAAATATTTTAAAAAGATAAAAAAAATTAAAATAGAAATTGCTGTGGGATGTCTTTCTGTATGATGTGATATATGTGTTGCTCCCATTGGCTAATAAATAAAGCAGCTTTGGCCTATGGCAAGGCAGCTCAAAGGCAGGCAGGAAATCCAAGCAGAGATACAGAGAGAAGAAGGGCAGAGTGGGGGAGATGCCAGCCCGCATCCAAGGAGCAACATGTAATGAGACCCAGGGAAAGCCATGGAGCACGTGGTGATACATAGATGAATAGAAATGGGTTGAGTTATAAGATCCAGCTAGCAAGAAGCCTGAGCCATAGCCCATAAAGTTTGTAATTAATATTAAGCCTCGGAATGTTTATTTTATAAGTGGCTATGGGACCTCAAATGGGAAAGATTCATCTGGACAGTGGGGCCGGGTATGACTGGAGAAACTTCCAGCTACAAGAAGTTTCCAGAGGGTAGGTGGGGAAGAGAATGGGAAGTTATTGTTTAATTGGTATGCTGTTTACTATGATGAAAAGGTTCTGGAAATAGTGATTATAGTTGTATAGTATGTACATAATGCTACTAATTGTACAATAAGAATAATGAAATGACAAATTATATATACATTTGAGAAAGTCACATTTTATTGTCATTACAATGGCCATGTATATTTATAATAATTGTATACATGATCTTGACAGCCTCTAAGATTACATCTCAAAGGTTTGTTTTGAGTGGTTTCACTGCTGTGATGGAATACTTGGCAAGCAAAGGAAGAGTTTCTTTCAGTTCACAGTTTGAGAGTGTCCATCATAGTGCAGACATCATGATGGCCAGAACTTAAAGCAGCCAATCCAGTTTATCCAAAGTCAAGAAGCAGAGAGTAATGAGCACTCCCGTTTAACTTTTCTTTTCCTTTTTATTCAGTTCAGGACCCCAGCCCAGGGAATGGTGCTGCCCACAGTTCAGGTGAGTCTTCTCATGTCATTATGTAGGTTAACCAATCTAGATAATCCCTCATAAACACGTCCAGAGGCTAACCCAATAGAGATAATCCCTCATAAACACGTTCAGAAACTAACCTAATATAGACAGTCCCTTATAGACATGTCCAGTGGCTAACCTCTAGGTAATTCTAGGCCCTGCCCAGTTGACAATGCTAACCACCACAGTCGCTAAAGAACCTTTATTTTTTCTTTTGACAAATGAGATCAAAAGGTGGTTCCTGACATTCATTCACCTACAGTTACTGTGGATACAGTAAAATGGCGGGTCACAAGTGTAGCACAAGGGCCATTTATGGTCTCATTTACTAGAGTCCCAGAAGAATGCAGGGTTCCAGCTGGGAAATGACAAGGCCACAGTCATATCCACTTAGCTTTGAGCATGGCCTACTGGGATTTTAACATTTTTATCTGAAATATCTCTGTATAAAAAGAAAATTGTTGTTGTGGTGGTGAATGCTTTTAAATCCCAGCGCTTAGGAGGTAAGGGAGCTCTCTGTAAGCTGGAGGCCAGTCTGATGTAATACTGAGGCCTTGTCTCAAAAACTAACAAACAAATATCTAGATTGGCTGTCCAAACAATAGCTTGGGAGAAAAGATATGGAGTTAATGTAATGATCACCTCCAGAAAAGGTAGATTTAAGGAAGTCAGTAATACTAGTGAAAGAAATGTGTATAATGAGGTAACTCATTTGTGGCAAGTCTTTCAAAGTATAAATAGGATAAACAGTTCAATGGTTAAGAGCAAATTTTTGTTGTGGAGGAACAGAGTTTGATTCCCAGCACCCAACCATGTTGAACAGCTCACAATCACCTGTACTGCAGCTCCAGGGGACCTAATGCCCTCTTCTGGCCTCTGAGGGCACCTTCAGACATATACACATACCACCCCCTCTACATATACAAATGCACAGAAAAATAAAATGAATTGAAGATGGAGCTATGTCTCCGTGGTTAAATATCTAAAGAGATAAATTATTCTATAAATAAAAAGTAGTATGGCAAGGAGAGGACATATGGTAGAATTCTGTGTCACTGGTTTCAGGCAATAATCCTTCATGTGGCTCTCAGCTTGTTTTGAGATTCTTGAGTTAGGAATTTTCTTGAATGAACTGTTTAAAAAAAAATCTCTGCAGATTCTCAATTTAGGATTTTTGTATGTGTAACTTTTCTATTACTGTTCTTTTCTTCAGAGGTTCCAGTGTACATTATTTGTCGCCAGTGCTTTGGGCCTGTGGCACCACAGTGTACTATGGTGGCAGTATGTGGTGAAGGACTGTTCACTCCATGTTTGGGAAGGTATCTTAGTTTGGTGTTTGTTTTTTTTTAAACTTGTTATCTTTAGGGATTTCTTTTTTTATTTTAAGATTTATTTATTTATTATGTACACAATATTCTGCCTGCATGTATGTATGTCTGCAGGCCAGAAGAGGGCACCAGATCTCATTACAAATGGTTGTGAGTCACCATGTGGTTGCTGGGAACTGAACTCAGGACCTCTGGAAGAGCAGTCAGTGCTCTTCACCTCTGAGCCATCTCTCCAGCCCCTATTTTGGGTTTTTTATCGCTGTGAAGAGATACCATGACCGTGGCAACTCTTATAAAAGAAACATTTAATTGAGGGTGGCTCACTTAGTTTCAGAGGTTTGTTCGTTATCATCATGATGGGGAGCATGGCGGCAGGCAGAAGTGGTGTTCAGAGTCCTTACATCTTGATAGGCAGGTAACAGGAAGTGGGCTAACTGACACACTCGGTGGTATCCTGAGCATAGGAAACTTCAAAGCCCGCCCCCCACAGTGACATACTTCCTCCAACAAGACCACACCCACTCAAAGCCACACCCCCTATTGGTGCCACTCCCTGAGATTATGGGGGCCAATTACATGCAAACTACCTACCACAGAAGGAAAGAGAGACAAAATGGGACCAGGGTTTCAATGTCCCCTTCAAGGGCTACTCCCAGTGACTTCACTGTTTAAGTGTTACAGATCGGATGGGAAGGTATCCGGGCAGTTGTAAGCCAAGAAATATCACAAAGTCACACAGTACTGAGAGGACTGGGGAGCCAGACTCGAGCCATGGCAGGCTTTAAATAGCTGGCGGTGGTGGCGCACGCCTTTAATCCCAGCACTCGGGAGGCAGAGGCAGGCGGATCTCTGTGAGTTCGAGGCCAGCCTGGGCTACAGAGTGAGTTCCAGGAAAGGCGCAGAGCTACACAGAGAAACCCTGTCTCGAAAAACCAAAAAAAAAAAAAAAAAATAGCCCTGCAGGGACCAGGCCTTAGTTTCGGTTTCCTGGAACTGGCTGGAGCTGAGCAAGCCGTTCTCAGGAAGACCAGAACTCAGGGGCAACCAATTAGCAGGTGCCTCACAGCCTGCTACTGGCTCAGCAGATGCCACCCCGGTCCCCAGCCTCCGCTAGCTAAAGTTTTTCCTACCCTCCTGTCAATAAGCCCCTAACCTCTACAGCCTCCAACCAATCAGCTCCCAGACTAATCTTTCCTCCACCAATCAGCTCCAGATTAATCCCTCCTTCCTGGAATTCCCCTAACTCACCTTAAAAGGAACTTGCAGCCTCCCTTCGGGGGTCTCTATTTGTCACCCCAACCTGTTGGAAATAAGCGCTCTTGCTAAATTGCATACATGACCGTTGGTCTTTCTTGGGGGGCTTCTCTCGGACCCTAACAAGAACAACAAACCTCACAAAAGAGATTGGAAGGGAAAAACCCAGGAAGGTTGCTGCCTCTACCATGGTGAGAAGCAGCAGAGAACTGGGCAGGATTCATGGGGTTTCTTTGGGGGAGGGTGGGGCTTTCCAGGATGGCCTGGGATTAGAGGGATTATATGGCCTGATTTTGGGGGCAAACTCAGGGATTGGTGAGGTTTTTTTTTTTTCTTGGAGGGTGGGGCCTCGTCACTCTGCCACTTTAGGATTGGGAAAGGCAGTTACAGTCCTTTTGAACCCTTTGGGAAATGGGGCGGGCGGCGCGGGGTGTGTGTGTGTGTGTGTGTGTGTGTGTGTGTGTGTGTGTGTGTGTGTGCCTCTGGCCACTTGCGTGCCTTGAGACTTTACAAAATTTACAAAGAGAGTATCTGCCCATTGCAGATTTCCTTGCCACTTGAGTTGGCATGAATATCCAACACTAATATCCTTCTGTTAAGCCCCACTTCCAAAGTTATTATAAGCAGGGTTTTAATTAAAAGGCTAGTCATCAATAAAAATTACTATCGATAAAAGTATTAGTGATGTTGACTTTTTTTTCACTTTAGTAAATTTGAATTTATTTTTCTTTGCATTGTCTGTGTCCTTTGACGATTTTAATGAAATGTCTGTTAAAATTGAAGGAAATCTCTACTTTATAGATGGGGTCTCATGTATCTCAATCTGGCGGCTTCAACCTGCCAAATAGCCAAGGATGACCTTGAATTTCTGACCCTCTGCCCCCATCTAGAGAATGCTGGGATTACAGGGTTGTGCTACCACGTCTAGTTCATGCAGTGCTGTCTGTAACACAGATGAGGAACATAAGACCCGGGGGTTGAGCAATTTGTAGCCACACCGCTGCTTAAATGGTAGAATTAAATGGGTTGGAATCCAGCTCTTCTGACTCTAAACTATAAATTCACCTAAGTTATATTCCACCCGCTCCAGGGTGGCTTGCTTAGACCTTGCCTTCCATTCTCATCAACTGAGCATTTTAAATCATTTTGGTAAGCAGCCTGAGCTAAGCGCATGCGGTCCTTCCTCTTGGCAGGACTGGCCGCTTTGCATCTCTTTTGGCCCCAGGGACTCGCCGTCGTCTGGCTGCGGTGTTCCCCGGTTGAGACGATGGCGACTGGGACGCCGGATTCGCAAGCACGATTTGGTCAGTCGGTGAAGGGGCTTCTCACCGAGAAGGTGAACACCTGCGGGACCGACGTGATCGCGCTCACCAAGCAGGTGCTGAAAGGCTCCCGGAGCTCGGAGGTGAGCGGGGCGTGGGCTCCCGGGCCCGCGCTGCCAGCGTTCGCTCGGGGAGGGGCGGCGCACTGCATCCTGGGAGTGTGGGCTGCTGGCCCCGCGGCGGTGGCGTGCTGGTCGCGTTTCTTCAGTTTAGGGTGAGCGGGTAGAGCTGGAAGAGGCGACGTGGTGGGAACCTGTGTTCCAGAAAGGGGAGAGGCACAGGCCGAGCCGCCGCTCCTGCCCGGTGCCCCCTTGTTCTCAGTCCCCTTTCGAAACTCGGCCTGGCGTTGCTCTCAACTTCCCAGATTCCTGTCGCCCCTTTGTCTGTGCGTTTATTCTTTATATTTCTGACCACGGTCTTCATTGTTTCTTAGAGTAGCGTTTTCCATTGCCCTGTTCTCCTTCCCCCTCCTCCGTGGAATTCTGTGAAAGGAATGATTTGATGACATGTACACGCTGCATGTTGAACTAGGTATCTATTCTAGAGAAAGTGTGTGCCCACACAAAGACGTGTGCATGTTCATAGCACTTTTCTTAATGAAACGTGCTCGTGGGCAGGTAAATGAAGTACAATGACCCCGCAGTTGCATTGGTATGTATTTACTAAAGGGGAATCAAACGTATGGGGGTGCATGATGGGCAGACCTATAATCTGAGCTCTCAGGAGGCTCATGCAAGAGGCTGGAATACATAAGGGACTGTTTAAAAAAATAAAAACTAGCTGGGCAGTGGTGACTAATGGCAGGAAGAAAGGGTTCTAACTGACTCTACTTGTCCACTCATTCATTGAGCAAATACTAAGTGCTTATTAACAGCAGGTACTCCGAACAAAAGTAATAATGGAGCAGGGAGTAGTGGCTCATGCTGAGGCAGGTGGATCTCTGTGAGTTCAAGACCAGCCCTAGTTCTAGGACGGCCAAGGCTGTTACACAGTGAAACCCTGTCTTGAAAACAAAACAAAACAAAAAACAAACAAAAACTTAAAAACCAAAAGAAATGAAGCGTATGTCCATTTTGTTAGATTAAACCACCCACACATAGCTAAGACTTCTAGTTTTGCCTTTTTTAAAATGGAAGCCTAGAATACATCTGTAAAACAGAACGCACGGTCTTTTTAGATTTCCATGAATTTCCCCTGCAGGTTGGTTCATTATCTTCTTCTTTCTTAATTTAGTAACTTAGCTACTCATCTTCAACAAGTGGTTACAGTTTCAACCTAGCTTTCATAGACTAGCAAGTCTCTCCTTTTCCACATACCTATTTTCCTATGTAGTTGTGGTAACCGAACAGTATGTTCTCGGGTCTTTGGGTTTGTGTATGAATGTTCACAGTCTCTGACTCACATTAGTTATGATAACCTGTTGTGTAGCTAGCTTTTACTGACTGGCCACAAAACCAAACAGAAATCCCAGCTGTACAAGAAGTGTTTGTCCTTACCATATTACAGAGCTGTTGAAGTTACCAGACCTGCTGTTCTCTGCTGATGGGCTTCGTGTGGTTCCATCTGACACACTGTTTTTAGGATTCGGTGTCAGAGAAAGCTTGAAGAATTTAAGGAATTGTTAAGTTGCCTTTTCCAAATATAAATTATGCAAATCGTGGTTTCACCTTGTGACACTGGATCATGGTTGCACAGAATTCCTGTGTCAGTTTTGTTGGCAACATGTTGGCTTTTCTTTTTCATGATTTATAGATTCTGTTTATTTGTAGGAAATGTATGTGCATGCAAAATATCCTACACATCGTATAATTGCACACACACATTTTCTTCCTAGATAAACAAATTGTTGAAGACATGGTATACATATGTTTAAACTTTAAAGAAGTGGGTTTTGGGCCAGCGAGATGGCTCAGCAAGTAAAGGTGCTTGTCACCAAGCTGGCCCATCTGAGTTCCGTCCCAGCCTGGGACCCATATGGTGGAAGGAGAGAACCAACTTCCAAAGATTATTGTCTAACTTCCACAAATGTGCTATGTCACACATGTTCCTCTCTCCTCTACAGAATAAATAAATACATGCAATTAAACATTTTTAAAGGTGATTATAGTAGCACATGCCTTTAGTCTCAGCATTTGGGAAGCAGAGGCAGGCAGATCTCTGTGAATTCAAGGACAGCCTAGTCTACAGAGTGAGTTCCAGCCCAGCAAGAACTACATAGCAAGTTCTGGCTTAGACGGGGCTTCATAGTATGACCCTGCACGCCATTTTTTTAAAGATGGATTTATATTTAACTACTAGTGTATGTTGGACATCATGAATTTACCTTTACATGGCACTAATTGGATAAGCTAACAAAAACCACTGCCACATTGGTTGCCTCTAAAGTAGCCTGCTCCTTCCCATTCCTCATCTTTATGCATCTCGTACCCGAGTGTCTTCTCCTGTAGGAGGTCTGAGTGTGACCCCACTAAGCAGTGTGGATTAAATCAAGCTGAAGTTAGCCTGGTTTCTGGACAGGATTGACACATAATTTCACAATTCTCCAGCCTTTGTCTTTCCTGACTTCCTTCCTCAGCGTGGATGGCACATCACCTCTGCCATTTCCTTCACTGGTTTTTGAGGTGGTTGGGGTGTCATAGTGAGTTTCTAGTACAGCTTTCATTTACAAATAATTTTTGAATGTGTACTGTGTGCCAGGAGCTGTTCTAGTTTCAAGGGGTAAATCCAGGTACCCAGGAAGCTTAGCATTTTTTGTGGTCGTGCTGTTGGTGTTGATCATTGAACCTAGGTCTAATTCATAGGAGGCAAGTGCTCTGTCACTGAACACTGTAGCCCAACCCTGAAGCTTGCATTGAAATGCTGTGGATTTATATAGTCTGAAAAGAAGGCAGAGTCAAAGTTCACACTGTAGGGAAGAGACAGATAATAAACCCAGTGGAACACCCAGCCTTAAGTGGTGAATAAACATTCTAAGGAACATGAATCTCAGAGCAGAGAGTGGTGACAGGTCTCTGGGAAAGTGACATTTGTACAGACAGTGGAGTGAAATGCACAGCAAGCCATGTGGATGTCTGGAGCCAGAGCAGAGAGTTGTAGGTAGGACTGTGGATTGGAAGGCCTTGAGATGAAATGTGTACAAAGATTGGGTACCAGTCTGGCTGGTCCAGAAAGTGAGGAGAAATGTACTTACGCCCACAGCCAGTTAGTGACAAACGGCTATTTTCTTGCACACCTGTCCTTCAGACACTCCATTTGAGTCTTGTATTAGTGAGGGTCATTGTGGGGTGTTGTAATTGTTAATGTTTTTGCAATGCTGGGGTGGAACCTAGAGAGTACTTTAGGCAAACATTTTACCCCTGAGCTATACCCAGAGCCCCCATTGTGGTTTGTTTTTTTTTTTAATCTATGTGTGGTAATGTAATTTGTTAATTTAGTGTGTGTGTGTGTGTGTGTGTGTGTGTGTATGTGTATGTGTATGTGTATGTGTGTGCATGTGTATGTACATGCATGTCTCTAGAAGACAACTTCAGGTGCTGTTCCTTGGGTATCATCTACTTTTTAAAGATTTTAAGACTAGGTCTCTTTGGCATGGGACTCACCAAGTAAGTGAAGGAAACTAGCCATGGAGCCCTGGGATCTGCCCATCTTGCTGGTGTGAGCCACCACATTTGATTCCCCAGCCCTTGGGTTCTAGGGATCAAACTCGGGTCCTTGTTCTTACAAGGCAAGCTCTTTACTGAGCTCTATCCCCAGCCCCTCAGCTGTACAACTTAACAAAAAATGTGGGAAGTGATGACATGGGGGAGGGGCAGTGAGCACACTATAGTTGTGAAAATGAGAAACTCAGTGAAGATGGGTAGGTGAGAAAAACTCACTGAGCTAATTATGAGCAAGCCAATGATAAAAACTTAGAGAAGAGTTTGTGGATCTAGAAAGATTCTGTACCGATTGTTTCTGTGCTATTCCTTGTTAACAAGGTAAATCTAGAAGTGTTAAATGGTGTGTGTCTGGTTGGTTTATCTGAGAAGATGCTGCAAAGTGTCAGTGAGTTCATCTTGCATTCTGGGGAAGGCCTTGACTCATGTGTAGCTTTGTCTGTCTTGGAACCCACAGAGATGCTCCTGCCTCTACCTTCCAGGTGCTGAGATTAAAGGTACGCACCACCAGCACCACCAGCACCAGCACCAGCACCACCACCACCACCACCACCAGAGACCAGGTCTTAAAAAACAAATGCAGTTCAAGGCCAGCCTGGTCTACAGAGCGAGATCCAGGAAAGGCGCAAAGCTACACAGAGAAACCCTGTCTCGAAAAACCAAAAAAGGAAAAACAACAACAACAACAACAACAAATGCAGAGGCAGGTCTCTTTGAGTTTAAGGCCAGCCTGCTCTACAGAGTGAGTTCTAGGACAGCCAGGACTACACAGAGAAACCCTGTCTCAAAACAAACAAACAAACAAACACCCAACCAAAAACAAAGTAAATGCAGAGAGCAAGTGAGGAAAGATAGCCTGATATCAACCCTCCCTACACACACACACACACACACACCCCACAAAACTGGCCGCAGGAATTGGGGGTGTAGCTCAGTGATAGAGTATAGAGTTCTAGCAAGGGCCTGAATTGGATTCCTAGCACCACAGGAGAGGAAGCTGCCCTTTCATCTGCTGTTGGTGGGAGTGCAAGATGATACATCTGTGACTCAGGAGAATTTGTCAACATGTACCAAAACTTGAACCAGGATCAAGATTCTGCATGTTCATCACAAAGATGCTCTAGGATGCAGACTCAGGGGAGCGTTTTGGTTTATCTTTACAGTAGCAAAGACTAGAAATAGCCTCCAAGTCTGTGGGCTGAGACTGGTTGAGTGTCCTCGTGTGTCTATGTGCTGTGGTGTGATATTTGGGGTTGTGAAAGAGTAGTTGAGGAGATTCTCTCACGTGGTTTGAATGAGAGTGACCCCCATTGGCTCATTTGAATGTTTAGTGGATTGGTTAGGACGGATTAGGAGGTGTGGCCTTGTTGGAGAAGGTGTGTCACTGGGAATGGGCTTTGAGGTTTGAAAAGCCCACACCAGGCCCAGTCTCTCTGCCTCCAACTTGTGGATAAGATAGAAGCTCTCAGCTACTGCTCTGCTCCCTGCCATCATGATGTCATGGACTCATCCTCTGAAACTTTGAGCAAACCCCCAACTAAATGCTTTTATAAATTGCCTTGGTTATGGTGTCTCTTCACAGCAATAGAAAAACAAGATCTCTCTCTCTTTTTCTCTCTCACAGATATCCAGTGAGATATATATATATATCATTATATATCATATATATTATATATATACATATATATATATAATATATATATGACTGATATGCAGATAGATCCATTTATCTCAGGGTTATATTGTAAAGTGGAAATTACAAGGTATGGCGCAGTACCTGTATAAGTTGTAAGTAAGAGGATGGGAGTGGGGTACGGTTGGCCTTTGGTGTCCTTGAGCTTCACAGCCAACTACAGACTGAAAATGTAGTCACTGTCTGTATCTGCACTGAAACATGTGTAGTGTTTTCATTGTCCCCTAGAAACTGTGTAACAGTTACACAGCACCTTCATTGTACTAGGTAATAATGTAATTTAGAGTCACACACCTGTGATCCCAGCCCTTGCAAGGTAGAGGCAGGAGATCAGAAGTTCAGAATCATCCTCTGTAGCGTGAATCCTAATTGGTCTAATCATAAAAGCCAGGAGTCAGATCCTGGGGTAAAAGCTGACAGATCAGAGAAGCACAGCCACAGCCACTGGAAAGTCTTCTTACCTCTACCGCATCCTCAACCTGAAAGGGTTGAGTTCCCTTCTCCTCCCGCCTTATAGTCCTTTCTCCACCCAGCCAGATCACTCCCTGTCTCAGCCTCCCTAGTGCTGGGATTAAAGGCATGTATGCCTCCCAAATACTGGGAGCAAAGGCATGAGATCCCAAGTGCTGGGGTTAAAGGTGTGTGCCACCACTGCCTGGCCTCTATGGCTAACTAGAGGCTGGCTTTGCCTTCTGATCTTCAGGCAAGCTTTATTTGCTAGACCACACACAAAATATCACCACAATCCTCAGTTACCCAGTAAGTCTGAGACTAGACTGAGCTGTGTGCGACCCCGTTTTCCAAAACAAGACATGGGACCGAGGAGATGGCTCACTGGGCAAAGCAGTCCTGCTGACTTCTGCTAGCATCTGATGAACGGGCTGTATGGAGAGCTCGGTATTCTGGAGCCTTGATTCTTGAGGAGGCTGTAGGTGTGGAGCCTGTGTCAGAATGGCCACTGTGCCAGTGAAATGGATTTTTTTCCCTCGGTGCTGGGGATTGAACCAGACCTGCCAAGCTAAATCACCATCCATTTTTGTATTTTCTTATTTTGAGACAGGGTCACTAAATTAGCCAACCTTACTCTGTAGTCCAGGCAGGCCTTCAACTTGCCTCAACTTCCCTAGCATCTGGGATTGCAAGCCTATACTGCCAGGCCAGTCTCAGAGTTGGGAATTTTGATCATTACTGTTTTTTTGTCTTCCAGCTGCTGGGTCAGGCAGCTCGAAACATGGTTCTACAGGAAGATGCCATCTTGCACTCAGAAGATGTAAGAAACTATTTCTTTCATGGTGTGTGTGTGTGTGTGTGTGTGTGTGTGTGTGTGTGTGTGTGTGTTGTATGACCATAGGGAAGTGGACTATTCTGTTTCTCTTTCTGTTATGCAGAGTTTAAGGAAAATGGCAATAATAACAACACATCTTCAGTACCAGTGAGTATGCCCTAACGGGCAGTCTGCGGCATCCTCACCCTCAGCCTGTGTTCATATCTTCCCATGGAGGTGGGGTGGGAGGGAGGCGGGGGGTGGGGGGGGGTGGGGGGGTGGGGGGGGTGGAAGGGAGGTGGGTAGGGTTGATAAGGGGAAAGACACTGAGGCTTCAGAAAAATTGAGATGTGGGAGAGTGGGCGCTGGGGCCACTTGTTTTGAACCTCCCTGTCTTAACCGGGAGCTCTACAAAGGAAGAACCCATGGGGCGGAGCTTGCCGGGATCATGCTACCAACGTGTGGCACCTGAGAGACTAGATCAGTATCTGTCCACTCTGTGCCCAGTGTCTTTCCTCCCCTGGAGATGGAGTGTGATGGTGACTGGTATTCCTACACATAACACAGCGCCAGCAACATGGAAATCGTTCAGGTTTTGAAATACACAGACAGCAGCGCCCTCATTGTAATTTTGACGAAAACTACAACTGAATATGCCTTGTGTGGTATTTTTTTTTCTTGTTTTTTTTTTTTTTTTTTTTTTTTTTTTTGGTTTTTTCGAGACAGGGTTTCTCTGTGTAGCTTTGCGCCTCTCCTGGAACTCACTTGGTAGCCCAGGCTGGCCTCGAACTCACAGAGATCCGCCTGGCTCTGCCTCCCGAGTGCTGGGATTAAAGGCGTGCGCCACCACCGCCCGGCTCTTGTGTTATATTTTATGTGGTGGAGAAGATGCTTGCATACCCTATTGAGATTGTATGGCTGAGAATTCAAGTCCCGATAGCTAATGTTTTTCAGTGTGTAGATGCGTGGTTACTCGTCTCCACGTAATTATACTAAGTTTAACCAGGTGTATTCAGCCTGCCTGTGATCTGTCGAGGATGACTTCTCTTGGCTCACTGAGTCTCCCTGTTTCTTTCCTTTCTCCCCTTCCCGACTTAGGCAAGAAGCTATTCAGAAGAAGTAAGTGACCTCAGAGTGGTGGGTGGGGCTGACTGGAGCATGCTGGGAGTGACACCTCAAAGGTGGTGGGTGGGGCTGACTGGAGCATGCTGGGAGTGACACCTCAAAGGTGGTGGGTGGGCCTGACTGGAGCATGCTGGGTGTGACATCTCAAAGGTGGTGGGTGGGCCTGACTGGAGCATGCTGGGAGTGGCACTGCTGGGCCCAGGAGCAGTGGAAAACTGGTTGACATGTGCCTCTAAATGACCATGCTCTGAATAGCCTGTTTAAAATTTGAAGAACACAGTGTATTTTAAAGGTGTGCAGGAACTGGATTCACTGCCTGTTAAGTTCTAGAAGTTACAGGGTACAGAGGCCACCCTTAGGAATAGGCATCCATTTATATTGGTAATATTCGTAAATAGAGCAAACATACTAAAGTTATTAAATAGTCTCATTTTATTAACTGTATTAAGGTTTTGTAAGCCTCTTTTCTTTTTGATTTTTTTTTTTTTTTTTTTGGTTTTTCGAGACAGGGTTTCTCTGTAGCTTTGCGCCTTTCCTGGAACTCGCTTTGGAGACCAGGCTGGCCTCGAACTCACAGAGATCCGCCTGGCTCTGCCTCCCGAGTGCTGGGATTAAAGGCGTGCGCCACCACCGCCCGGCTCTTCTTTTTGATTTAAGGCCTCTCACCATGTAGCTCAGGCTAACCTGAGCTCACAGTCCTGCCTCTGCTTCCTCAGTGGTGGGTTACAGGTGTGTGCCGCCGCCATGCCCATCTGCACAAACCCTTCCTCGTGGGTTCCGTTTCTCCCAGCCTTGAGCTGGAGTCTTACTGTGTTCCATGGTGGCCTCAAACTCGGGTTCAAGTGACCCTCCTCTGCCTTAGCCGCCCAAGTAACTGGGACAGACAGGTGTGCCGCAGTGCCAGACTCGGAGTTTAAACACTTCGAGGCTCACGTGGACCGAGGTCAGTTTTGACTTAGGTGTAACAAGAGTGATGTGTTAAAGAATAGATCATACAAAGAAATGTCTTTCCTGCTCACTTCAGACAACCCTTTTCTCTGATTTCCAGTGTTGAACAGTCACCTGACCTGCAGGACCAGCTGAGTCATTTATTGAAGTAACATGTCACAACAGCAATTGACTCCTTTGCCTGATGCTGAGGAGGAGGCTGTGGGCTTGGTTTCCATTTTTTTTTTTTTTTTTGGTTTTTCGAGACAGGGTTTCTCTGTGTAGCTTTGCGCCTTGCCTGGAACTCACTTGGTAGCCCAGGCTGGCCTTGAACTCACAGAGATCCGCCTGGCTCTGCCTCCCGAGTGCTGGGATTAAAGGCGTGCGCCACCACCGCCCGGCTTTGGTTTCCATTTTTATCTCCAAAAATTCATCTAGAAAAGACTTGTGAAAAGAAGCCAGGTGACTGAACTTGGAATCACTTCTTTTGGTCTTTTGAGACAAGTTTTCTCTGTGTAGCCCTGCCTATCCTGGAACTCACTCTTTAGACTAGACTGGTCTCAGAGATCCGCCTGCCTCTGCCTCCCAAGTGCTGGGATTAAAGCTGTGCACCACCATTGCCTGACCTTAGAATTGCTTCTTAAATTGAATTAACCCATACTCTTATCAGATATTTAAGTTGTGTTGAATTTCATATTAAAATAAATAGGTTCAATAAGTAGCACTGAAAATAAAAGATAGCTTATTAAAAGCTGTGTTACTGTATTGTCTGTCTAACGTGATCCTTAAGCACACTGCTGGGTTTTTTTTTATTTTTTATTTTTTATTTTGTATACAGCATGTATGACTACAGGTCAGAAGAGGGCACCAGATCTCATTACAGATGGTTGTGAGCCACCATGTGGTTGCTGGGAATTGAACTCAGGACCTCTGGAAGAGCAGTCAGTGCTGTTAACCTCTGAGCCATCTCCCCAGCCCCCCCCCCCCCCCTTTTTTTTGAGGCAGTGTGCCCTGTGTAGCCTGCTGGCTTTGAACTAACAATCCTGCTGCTGCAGCCTCTCAAGTGCTGGGATTACAAATCACTGCACCTGGGCACTGATACTTGGGGAGGCTGAGACAGGAGAATCACTTGAGCCTAGGAAGTTGAGACCATTCAGGACAATACAGTCTTCCTGTCTCCAAGAAGGGGCGGAGGGAGGGGCTTCTGTTGTGAACACGTTAGACTAATTCATATTTTAAAAAACTTGTAACCACTCACTCAAGAGTTCTCACTTAATGGACACAGAACATGGCTGATGGTTGTTGTTTCTCCCTTAGTCACAGCAGAGTCTTATGTGAAAACCCGGCGAGCGATGTCCTCTCTGGCCAGCTGCAGCCCCGTGCCTTGACCTTTGTTACTGGCTCCTTTCTTTCTGTGACTCTTGATTAAGTGACCTTGGTTCGTTTTGTAATCATTTATAGCCATTCCATTCCCTTCATATTTGGAAGTAACGTCACACAAATGGATGTGCTGATAATTAAGTTACCAAATGGTCTACATAGAGAGACCCCATCTCAAACAAAACACAAAGTCTAAAATACAGAAAACCACAAGTCACTGTTACAGTTTCATACTTCAATCATTAAAGTGTAAGTTAATAAATGTATCACTGACTATGACATGTATAAAGTGAATTAGATTTGAAAAGAGTTCTCTCTCAGCTTACTGCTAAAAATTTGGTCAATGTAAAAATGTCTGGCACCTTATAAAGACATGACATTACAAAACTAATATTTGAAAGAATATATCCAGATCAATATGAGGAGGAATTTAGCACAAAGTGCTAAAGGAGCAGCAGTTAAAATGGCATTTGCTTGTGGTACCATTTCTCTGCCTTCCACAAACTGTCAAAGAACAGACCCTTTCCATATATACCCAGCATATAAAACATGGCCATTAAAAGCTGGTGAGGTGGCTCAGAAGTTAGAAACACTTGCTGCTTTTGGAGAGGGCCCAGGTTCAGTTCCCAGCACCCACTTGAGACAGCTCACAAATGTCTATAAGTATAGCTCCACGGGACCTAATGTCCTCTTCTGGACTCCTCAGACACCTGTGTTCACATATACATACCTGAACACACATAGACATATACATATACATAATTAAAAAATCATTAAAGCAATCCATTTGCTAAAGAAAATATGAGTTTCATCTAAAAATAAAAAGCAAGATTATATAACAACATTTATGGATGTTTAAATATTGATGTTTAAATTTATTTTTATGTGTATAGATGTCTTGTATGTCTATGTACCACATGTGTGCAGTGCCTGAGGAGACCAGAAGTGTTGGATCTCCTGGAGCTGGAGTTACAGACAGTTGTGAGCCATGACGTGGGTTCCGGGAATGGAACCCAGGTCCTCTGGAAGATCAGCAAGTGCCCTTAACTGCTGAGCCACCTCTCCAGCCCTTGAGGACTCTTAGGGATGCTGACTGCTTTTGAAAGATCTACTTTGTTTTCTAATTACAAAAAAGTTCAGGGTAGCCAGGGCTATGTAGTGAAACAGTATCTCAATTTTCCCTTCTATTTCTTTGTTGTGTATGTGTGTGTGTGTGTGTGGGGGGCACATGTGGAGGTTGGAGGAGCAGCTTAGGAAATCAGTCCTCTCCTTCCATCATGAGGATCCTGTGGACAAACTCAGGTCATCAGCCATGGTTGCAAGGGCCCTTACCTGCTAAGCCATCTTGCCAGACAAAAGCTTTGTCTCTTGTAACATGGCTCTGGACACTTAACCAAAATCTACCTCCCTGGTCTGTCCTACAATTGCTGGCCCAGTAGTTTTCCAAACAAGTATGTGGCAGTCTTCTCAAGACTACCCTTGGAGATAAGGGACGAAAACAGGAAGTTCTCTATATATGGTCTTTCTTTTGAATCTTAAAAAATCAAGATGGAAGTGGTGGTGCACACCTGTGATCCTGGCACCTGAGGGCAAGAGGACCTGTAGGTCAAGGCTGGCCTCAGCTACAGTGAGTTTGAGACTGGCCTGGATTAAAGATCCTTTCTCAATTTTCTTCCTTCTTAAAAACCTAATTTTGCTAATGTTCGATACATCTTGCCTGAAGAGCTCAAATAGAATGCCTGCCTTCAGCAGAGATGATACACAACACAGAAGCTATGTGTGTGGCTCAGTGATGGTTCCCTTGCACACATGAGACCCAGGGATCAACCTTGAACACTAGGAAACATCCCCAAAGCCAGAATACAACAAACTGTGGCAGCAGAGGCCCTGACTGATCAGAATGATTGCTGGTCACCATCCGACCCAAAATCAGTCCAGTGTACCAGACACCATGAGGGGAGAGTGGCGGAAGTTAAAGCTGATAATGGTTTGCTCACTGTGGTTTATATGGGTGTGGTTACCAAGTGATTCTTGTGACTAACCCACAGAGGGTAGCAGTACAAGTGAAGATGAGCACATCCTCTCCCTGCCCTCTGGCTGAGACAAAGCTGTCATCAGAACAAGGAGAAAGTAACTACTTGGTTCAAAGAGCTCATTTTATGGGGAGAATGTTTTATTTTCCTGAAAAGTGATGTTCAGGAGAGCTTTGTTACATAAGTGCTAAAAAGTACTGGATGCCTATTAAAGTTGTCATTTTTTTACACACTCAATAGTTAGAAATGTCCCAATCTAAAAATATTCCAACAAGGATTGCCTGTGGGTTTTTTTTATTGATTTATTTTTAAAAAATGTTTACCTTTACATTTTTAAAGAGCCAGACGTAAACTCCAACTATCCTCCAGGCACTGTGTTGTATTCTGAGGAAACACTTTGGAGTGGTTAATAGTAGCTCTGCGACCTTTCGCAAGTTATCTAACCGAGGAAGGTCAGAGCAGGAACTCAGGGCAGGAGTTTGGAGCCCAAACCGTGGAAGGACCCTGCTTCTGGACCTTCTCTGCTGCTCATGCCCAGCCGGTTTTCTTGCACAGCTGCCCAGGGAATGCCCCTTAATGACTGATTTCTATTTTATGTGCATTGATGTTTTGCCTACATGTGTGTCTGTGAAGGTGTTGGACCCCCTGGAGTTACAGACAGTTGGTGAGCTGGGAAATGAACCCATGTCCTCTGGAGGAGCAGCCAGTGCTCTTAACCACTGAGCCATCTCTCCAGCCCTAGTTTGTTTTTAAACATTTAAAAGAAAACTTTACATTTATTTATTTATTATTATTATTTTCCATTATTATTATTATTATTATTATTATTATTATTATTATTATTATTATTATTTTCCAGACAGGGTTTCTCTGTGTAACCTTGGCTTTCCTGGAACTCACTCTGTAGACCGGGCTGGTCTTGAGCTCACAGAGATCTGTCTGCCTCTGCCTCCCGAGTGCTGGGACTAAAGGCATGCATCACCACGGCCTGTCAATTTTACATTTATTTGTGTATGTATGTATGCATGCTCTGGCCTGCATGTGGCAATCAGAGGACAGCCTGCAGGAGTTGGTTCTCACGTGCATTACAGGGATGGAAATGAGGTCCTCAGTCTTGGTGGCAGGCACCTTACCCACTGAGCCATCCCACTGCCACCCTGTTAACTTTCAACAACAATTGACAGCAGGGAATCTGGAGACTTACTAGAGGGACTTCAAAGTTTCTTTCTGAAATGACATGGGATTGAAAACAGGAAGGTAAATTTCCTAAGAGTCCACTTTCCTATCTAGACATCCTTCCATTTATCCTGCTACATCACCTTATCTTGATGCACGGCAATGTTTGATTCAACCACAAAGAAGTAAGACATACAAACAAATGCAGGGGGATTGAGATGGTGTAGCTGTAAAAGCTAAAAGCATTTGCCACACAAGCCTGATGCTGGATCCCTGGAACCCACTGTGGAAGGAGAGAACTAACTTGTGAAAGTCATCCGTCTCCCTCCATACATGGGCTGTGGTGCTCATGCACACATGCACACACCAAACAATATAAAAGACGTACAGAAGTAATGGTGGCAAGAGAAACACTTTTTAAAAATGCACCCTGCTGGCTAGGTGTCTCAGCAGGTAAAGGCACTTGCTGGCAGGCCCTACGACACAGTTCTATCCCTGGTGCCCACAGTGTGGAAGTAGAAAACCAACTTCCTAAAAGCCCCTTGGCCGCACATGTACCAGGGCACTCCTACCCTACAGATACATCAGATATAATATAAACAAAAACAGTCTGAGGAGAAGTGGCAGTACATGGAAATACATCTAAACTGGTGAGTTATTGTAGTAGTGCTTTTCTGCATACAACTGAACAGTGGCCATAGGGTTAAGAGTTCACCTGTACTACATTCCAGAAAAGGCAAAGCTGCAGGGGTAGAGAACCAAGTCTCTGCGTTTGCCTAGGTGTGGGGTGTGGAAGGAATTTCCTACCAAGGGGCACGCATAAGCTTTCTGAACTAGAGAACCACTTTTATCTGTGTGTATGTGTGTGTGGTTGTGGTGGTGGTTGAGACAGGGTTTTCCTGTGTAGCCCTGGCTCTCCTGGAACTAGCTTTGTAGATCAGGCTGGCCTCAAACTCAGAGATCTGCTAGCCTCTTTCTGCAGTCTCTGTCTCTTGAGTGCTGGAATTAAAGGCACAGCACCACCCCCTGATACCTGCAAAATTCGGAGAGCTGTGGGCTAAGGAAGGTGAATGTTATAGATGTAAATGACATCTCAATGAAGGACTTAATGAGCCGGATGGAGGAGAGGTGATTTCATTCCGCAAGGAGGAAAATAGATATGGGTGTTCATTTAAGGCACACACAGAATTTACAAATGAAACTATGGATCAGTAAAGGGAGATGTTAGCTAATACAACCATTATACCGGGATGCAAGGACTCCAAGGTGACGATGAGACTCAGCAGTGTGTAGGGCTAGACGGCTGTGGGCGGGTTTGCACGCGGAGCGGTTGCAGGTCAGCCAGGAGGCGTGGCCTCGGCGCTGCTCCGGAGCGGAGTTGGGTTATCCCAGGTGTGGGAACGTGGAGCTCGTGAGTCAGTGAGTAGCTGTCCCCGCTGCCTTCCGTCCAGTCCCCTTCTGACCTCTGCCTTCCCTCAGGCCCACAGCGCCCCCCAGCCTGCTCCCACCTCTGGGCAGGGCCTGCCTGTGCCTCGCTGAAGGCCTCAGTTCCCGTCCACTCCGCCCCGTGTGCTGCTGTCCTCCATCTTGCCCGCAGCCGGGTCCCTCACTGTGGTCACCCGGTTTAGCCTCTGTTCTCCCCTTTGTCAGTGGCCGCTCCCCGAGACGCTGAGATCCACAAGGACGTTCAGGTGAGGGCCCGGGGAATGGCTGGCGTGAGATCGCTGGTCTATGGGAGTCTGGCCAGCAAGCGCTTCTGCTCGCAGAGCACTCTGGGGGAGAGCAGCCTGGGACGTGGGGTCGGCGTTTACCTTGAGCAAAGGTCGGTGGGCTGGAGTTAAGCTGAACTGTGAGTGTGGCAGAGGCCTCGAGCTCTGCAGGCGACAACTCCAGTCCATTTTCTCCTGGCTTCTCCTCCTTGCCTGTTGAGTCAGAACTACTACGGGAATGTACTGAAGACATCTGCAGACCTCCAGACTAATGCTTGTGTCACCCCAGTCACTTTGGTCCCCAAGTACATCCGGGAAACTCTGAAGAATGTACACGAGGACGTTACCTCGAGGTAGAGTGTATATGCTGTTTCCAAGAAGCCTCCAGACTGCAATTTTCCCATACTGGTCACTAGGGAATTTAGCCATCACTGTTGGCCGTCCTGCTTCCCATATCTACTGAGAAACCCCCAAAGCTGGCCACTGAGCTTCTTGTACCTCAGCTGAAGACCCCTCAAAGATGCTCTCCATCTCTTCCCATTTTAGGAGACATTCACGTTTTTAATAGATTAGCTCACACTTTCTAAACAGTCATGGCTCCCGATCTTGCCTTTCCCTGCCATAGTATTGCCCACCCAGAGAGCCGTTATCAGAGAGGGTACCTTACCCCCTGCCTCTCCAGCACCTCAGTGAAGTCCTCCTGGGGTCGTGAAGCCTTCCTCCCCCAGGTGCTACAGCACCCACTCCAGTGGCACTCACTCTCAGTCAGCCATGAGAAAGGTTCTCCATACTGTTGTTTTTACCTCTCAAGGTACAGTGCGTACACCCGGGGGAGGTGGGGGGGGGGGGCGGCAGAATACTTTCCTTGTTCAGCAGCCAGTGCCTTAGATGTATTTATTCAACAAGTAGTTTAGATGGTTTTCTTGAGTCTTGCCACCTTGCACGGCGCTGGTCCACGCAGCTATGGCGGACATGGTTCTGATTTAGTGGGAGAGACAAGAGAGTGACGTAAGTGGGTGATGGAGGAACGGAGGGAGGAAGTAGAGCTTTACTACTGGAGAATTTGCTAGTCTGTTTTTAAAACATGTCTTTTCCATTTCTCAGGTATTATGGCTGTGGTCTGGTTGTCCCTGAGCTCCTGGAAAACTGCTGGATTTTGGATCTGGGTTGCGGAAGTGGCAGAGACTGCTATATGCTTAGCCAGCTAGTTGGCGAGAAGGGACATGTCACTGGAATAGACATGACTGAGGTCCAGGTAACACAAAGATTTGGAGGAAAAGGAGGAGAGGTTTCTCCAGACCGTCTTTGAGGCCTGAAACTGCTTCCCACCTTTCTTCATGGTATTTAAGAAGGCTGGGGTTTTGTTGCTGCCTCTAGTGACCTAGAAGTTGAAGACATTGACAGTCAGTGACTGTCCTGGAGAAGTCAGTCAGAGGTTTAACCCAGTGGCACTTCCTCTTCTCCTTTCTTTGTCCTCCTGGCCAGAAAGAACTGTCATTGGATGAGAGATTACCTCAGGCAAGACTCACCTAGTTGGGAACTTCTGTCCCAGGCTGTTGCATATCTTACATGGCCCATGAATCTTGTGTATCTCTCCAAAATAACCCAGGGCAGGGAAGCATATGGCATTAGTAAGAGGACAGTTTTCAGGGAAAAATATTTAGTTTTTTAATAGTGTTGATTACCAAATCTGTATTTTTCTTTCTCTAGGTGGAAGTGGCTAAAACCTATCTTGAGTACCACATGGAAAAATTTGGTTTCCAGGCACCCAATGTGGCTTTTATTCACGGCTGCATTGAGAAGTTGGCAGAGGCTGGAGTGCAGAAGGAGAGCTACGACATCGTTGTGTAGGGCTACAGCCTTGCCGCTATGAGCAAAGCCCAGCTCAGTTTGAGCTACCACTCTTTGAAGAATTAAACTAGGGGCTGGAGAGATGGCTCAGTGGTTAAGAGCACTGACTGCTCTTCCACAGGACCTGGGTTCAATTCCCATGTACCCACATGGTGGCTCACACCTGTCTGTAACTCCAGTTCCAGGGGATCCCACATCCTGACACAGACATACATGCAGGAAAAACACCAATGCACATATAGTAAAATTAAATATTTTTAAAAGTTTAAAAAAGAAAAAGGAATTAAACTGAACTTAGCAGGCCTTCATAAAGGAAGGAAGCTGTAATGAGCTCTCCATAGTCCACTAGCAACAAAACACAGCTGCCTGAGAGAGAATTTAAAGTTGCCAGGGTGTCTAGCCTCTGGCACAACCATGTGGTCAAGGATAGCTATGTATACAACCCAACACAAAAGCATAAACTTAAAATATTGTGAGTTTGTTTTGTTTTGTCCCTCAAGTGGGCATTTGTTGGTAAGTTAGGAGGAGACAAAGTCATATTGCAGTGTGAACACATCTGCCCACCGACCTAAAGCCGGTGAGCTCCCCAGACCAGCCAGACCACAGCCTGCGCTGCCCTGACGCACACTCACCTCTTATCTGGAGTGTAACAGTGGGTCGTGTCGTAAGAACTTTGTATTGGAGCGTTATCTAATTGTGTGCACATCAGCGTGTACTCACCCAGACTTTGATGATAGAACCCACTGCACACTTAGGCTGTGTGGTGTACACCATAGAGCCAGCCTGTTGATACCAGGGCCCAACGAACAGAGCAGTCCCGGGCACGAGGTGATGCTATCCAGGGTTGTGGTGGCTTCTCAAGACGTGCGAGGTTGCTGTTGAAAGCCTAGCAGACTGTTTTACAGCGTGTTTTCTTGTAAGCAGAGTAAATTCACCATAAAATAACGATAAAAGCATCGTAAACAAAGGCCAGGAGCATCATTGTTTGTGTGTGTTGTACTTTTCTACAGCCGGCAGTCAGTAAGGTGTGGACGCCAGCCTCGTCACAAACACTTGACTAATGTACTATGGCCTTGTTCTGGGTGTTGCTGTACTAGACAATTACAGCCTTTATTGTAATTTTATGAGACTACCATCATCTATGTGGTATTCTGTTTTGTTCTGTTTGTTTTGAGACAGGGTAGTTATGTAGTTATGGCTGGACTGGAACGTGCTGTGTAGACCAGGCTGACCTTGAATGCACAGAGATCTGCTTGCCTTTGCCTCCTGATTAAAGGCATGCACCACCATATTTAGCAACAACTGCATTTTTTTTTCATGGCAAATTATGGTGTTTTGTGTTTCTCATTTTCCTGAGTCATTGTTAAATCATGCCCAAGTGACAGGATTGGGCTTTTTTTTTTTTTCTTTTGATGCTGGGAATTGAACCCTAAAGAAGCATTTAACCATTGAGTTTCACACTTAGCCTCAAATGAAAATACTGGGAAAGCTGCCTTTAAGGGATTTGAACACCTGCCATGATAGGCATCGAGTCCGGTTTTGTTTTCTTGCCTGGTGAATATCAGGACAAAACAAGAACCACGCGTCATATTCCTGCACTTCGCACTCACTACTTGCTTACAGATATGTCTTTTTTTTTTTTCTTCTGGAGCTGAGGACTGAACCCAGGGCCTTGCGCTTGCCAGGCAAGTGCTCTACCACTGAGCTAAATCCCAACCCCCAGATATGTCTTAAACAACTTGCCTAGCTCCCTTATCTCGGGAAAGTTGAGTATGGGGAAGAAAGGAGAGTCGGGAAGAAGTAGGTAGCTCTGCCGGTAAGATGGAAGCCCCTTTTGGGTCTTCAAGGATTTGAGTCCTTCAACATCTGCTCTTTTTTCCCCTTATTGTTTTTTAGATCCAATTGTGTTATCAACCTTGTCCCCGATAAAGAACAAGTGCTTCGGGAGGTGTATCACGTGCTCAAGGTGAGGGCAGGAGGGAGACATAATCTGTTAACACCAGAGAGGGCTGACAGGATCACGTTCTCTTCTGGAACTAAGAACTCAAGCTCTTGATTTATGCACCAAGTTAAGAGGGAGCCAAGTTGGTCATGGTGGAGTTCAAGGCCAACTGTCTGAGATGCTGTTTCAAAAAACAAACAGAAAAGTGCACAAAAGTCGGGGTAGGGTGGCATAGGGTGAGAGTCATGCCCTAGACAGGGCTTATTTTCCTCTCAAGCCGCTGGTGATTGACTGTTAGAACATTCACCTTCTTTCCTGCTGCTCCTGGCTACTATTGATTTTGGCTCTCAGATAATACCTGTGGAGTCACCAGAACCTGTTGACTCACTGAAAAATTTCTATGAATTTGCCTTTTCTAGAACAGATTGTGTTTCTGATGCCAAGATATCTTATCTTTGGAGAAATCTAAGATGGAAGTTTTATATGGATGCCTTTTTAAAAGGGAAACTTCCAGGAGCTTCCCGTCTTTCCTGCCCATGAAAGGATGTTTCTTGGTGCTAGAAAACAAAGCATTCTGGGATTTGGAGGCCTGAAGGTGTAGTTCAGTGGCAGATGTGTGATTGGCATACACGAGGCTCAATCCCTAGCACTCTGAAAATAAATTCTGGGGTTTTTGGCTTACGGAGCTATTACATTGCCCAAATAGAAGTATCTATAAAGGGTGGGGGTTCAGTGGTTAAGAGCACTGGCTGCTCCCTCAGAGGACCCAGGTTCAATTCCCAGCACCTACATGGTGGTTTACAACCATCTGTAATTCCAGTTCTAGGGGCTTGATGCCCTCTTCTGGCCCCCGAGGGTACCAGGACACAGACATACATGTAGGCAAACACTTACGCACGTAAAAATAATAAAATAAAAATTTAAAAGTATCTGTGTAGGAATGATCTCATGTTATTTCAAGGATGCCATTTGTATACCAGCTCATGATCTTCACTGAGATCAACTAAGAAAAGCTAAACATTACTATAGAATATAGGCATCCATGCTTTTGAAATTAGCTAAATGACACCTTCAATCCCTGCTGACTCCTTTGACCTAGATATTTTTATATATAAAAATTTTAATGTGTAATAATATCACTGTAATTTCCCTTCATTCCTCCTTTCCTTTTTTTTTTTTTTTTTTTTTTTTGGTTTTTTCGAGACAGGGTTTCCCTGTGTAGCTTTGTGCCTTTCCTGGAACTCGCTTGGTAGCCCAGGCTGGCCTCGAACTCACAGAGATCTGCCTGGCTCTGCCTTCCGAGTGCTGGGATTAAAGGCGTGCGCCACCACCGCCCGGCTTTTTTTTTTTTTTTGGTTTGTTTGTTTGAGACAGGGTTTCTTTGTGAAAGCTCTGGCTATTCTGGAACTCATGATTTAGGTCAGGCTGGCCTCAAACTCAGAAATCCTCCTGCCTCTGATTCTTGAGTGCTGAGATTAAAGGCGTGCGCCACTACTGCCTGCCTTCATTACTGTAATTTCCTGCCTCCCTCTCTCCCTCCCCTCCCCCCCCCTCTTTTTTTTTCTGAGACAGGGTTTCTCTGTGTAGCCCTGGCTATCCTGGAACTCACTCGGTAACCCAGGCTGGCTGAGAACTCACAGAGATCCACCTGGCTCTGCCTCCCGAGTGCTGGGACTAAAGGTGTGCGCCACCACCCCCTGGCTCAATTACTGTAATTTTCAAAGGATGAGACTGTTAATTCTATGGGTGTGTCTGTTAGTTGTCTAGACACCTAGGGCTGTGTTGTTTGGACTCACTGAAAATTCAGGCAACCTGAATGTATTTAGGAGAGACACTCATTTTTTTCCCTCCTGTGTTCTTGTTTATTTAAAAACTTTAAAAAAAGATTTACTTACTTTATATGCATGAATGTTTTGCCTATATGCATACATGTGCACCCCATGTGTGTCTGATACTCACAGAGATCAGAACTGGACTTACAGGTGGTTGTGATCCACCATATTGGTATTGGAAACTGAACTTTGTTCTTCTTTTTTTAATAGCACAGAATAATGTTTTCATCTGCATGTTTTTAAAAAAGATTTATTTATTTATTATGTATACAATGTTCTGCCTGCATATATGCATGCAGGCAGAATAGGGCACCAGATCTCATTATAGATGGTTGTGAGCCACAATGTGGTTGCCGAGAATTGAACTCAGGACCTCTGGAAGAGCAGCATGAGCCCTTAACCTCTGAGTTATCTTTCCAGTCCCATGAACTTGGTTCTTCTACATCAGTGGTTCTCAACTTGTGGGTGGTGACCTCTTTGTGGGTTGCATATCAGATATCCTGAAAATCAGATATTTACATTACAATTCATAACAGTAGCAAAATTACAGTTAAGAAGTAGCAGAAAGTATTTTATGGTTGGGTCACCACAGCATGAGGAACTGTGTTGCAGCGTTAGGAAGGTTGAGAACCACTGTTCTAATCTATTTGAACCCTCACATTTTGTTCTTTTTAAAAGAATTTTCCTGATAAGACAAATCTTTTATGTTACTTTATTATTATTATTATTATTATTATTATTATTATTATTATTTTTGACATGTGGTCTCTTACTGAACCTGGAACTCACCAAGTTGGGTAGAATAGTCAGCTGATCAGCTCCAGGGACTTAGCTGTGGGCCCCATCAGAGCTGGGGTCATAGATGCCAACCACCCTGGTTTTCGTGGATGCTGGGGACCAGAACTCAGCAGATGCTCACATAGCAGCAAGCACTTTACCCACAACCCATCTCTCCAGCCCTTATCACTGTTTCCATACACGCACACAGTGCGCACAGGTGACAGCCACCCTCCCTTTGTCCTCTCCTGCTTCTTCACTTCCTGTTGACTCCCTCCTCTCCGAGTCTTAGACAGCAACTTTATGTTGGATAGGACACTGGAGAATTAAACACCCTGTGTGTTGATTTTAATGATGGAGGCAGCTGTTACTTGTTCAAGGGTCAGCTTGCTCAGTATCAGCTCAAACACTGGAATTTTGAAGTTGCTTTCCTAAAAATCAATTTTTTTTTTTGTTATCTGTAATGAATGTAATCTTTAACCTTGCTCGGATGTGTGCTGCTCTTTTTCAGTACGGTGGGGAGCTGTATTTCAGTGACGTCTATGCTAGCCTTGAAGTGCCAGAAGACATCAAGTCACACAAGGTTTTATGGGGTATGCATTCTTGTTTTATTTACATCAGTGATTATTGACTAGTGTAGAGCTCCATCCTGCAAGTACATTGGGGTGAGACCACTGGCTGGGAGAGCAAATGGCATAAGGCCAGAAGGTTCGATTCCTTATCTACTACCCAGAAACAATATGAGGGCCGGTGAGATGGCTCAGTGGGAAAAGGCACATGTGGTTCAAGGCTGGCAATCTGAGCTTGATCCCTGGAATACATGTAAAGGTGGAAGGAGAGAACGGATTCCACAGAGCTGACCTCTGACCTGCACATGTGCACTGTGGCACAAATGCCCATGTGCCCCTCCCCACCACCACTATAAATAAACTTTTTAAAAAAGTGACATAATCTCAGGCAATTTAATTAATCTGTTATTGTTTCTCTAAACTGTAAAATGAAAATAATAACAGACTACTTTAAAAAGCTATTCTGAAGAATAAATGAGATGGAGTTTTTATTCCTTTATTGTCACTTAAGAGTCTCTAGACGTTAAGGAGATAAATGCATCCTCATGATCGACTTTTGCATTTAAGCTAGCAGTGGTGGTACATGCCTGTGGCCTCAGCTCTTTGGAGATGAAGCAAGAGGAACAGTGTTCACTCAAGGCTGGAGCAGGCTGCACGATGAGACATAGTCTAAAAAAAACCATCTCATTTTTAAAGAGATCGTGTTAACATTTTCTTATTATACAGTAATATAAATGAGTAATGTTTAAAGCAGGAAAACAGGGCCTATGAGGTGACTCAATTGGTAAATCACTTTCCTTCCATGCCTGATGAGCTGAGTTCGATCCCCAGAACCCATATAAAAAGGTGCATGGAGAGAGTAGATCTCTGATCTCTGTATGTGCCCTCTGGCATTTGTGCCTCACCCAAGAAGATGTGTACACACACACACACACACACACACACACACACACACACACACACACACGGAAGAGATGGCTCAGTAGGTAAAGACGCTTGCGGCCAAGTCTGCAGCCTGAGTGTGATCCCCAGAATCCCCATGGTAGAGGGAGAGGACTAACTCCAGAGCGTTGTCATCAGGCCTCCACATGTACACTGTGGCATGTGCTGTCTCTCATACACACAGAAGACAAACAAACACAGATACATACATACATACATACATACATACATGCATACATACATACATACATGCATGCATGCATACATACATAAGCCAAGTATTGTTGCACACCTTTAATTCTAGCACTTGGGAGGCAAAGGCAGGCAGATCTCTATGAGTTCAAGGCCTAGCATACATAGAAAGTTCCAGGCCAGCCAGGGCTACATAGTGAAAGCCTATCTCCAAAAAAGCAAGATAGTAAATAAGCAAAATAATTAAAACAAAACATTCCAAAAAATACAAAAAATATATTTCCTAAGTCCCAACATTTTTAAAAAATTTTCTTAGGTGGGCATTTTGCCTGCATGTAGGTCTGGTAGCTGTGCAGGCCATATGAGGGTGTCCGATCTTCTAGAACTGGAGTTAGAGACAATTGTGAGCTGCTCTGTGGGTTCTGGGAATCAAACCTGGGTCCTCTAGAAGAGCAGCCAGTGCTCTTAACTTCAGACCTATCTCTCCAGCTCTGGTCTAAACATATATAAACAGTATTATACAACTGTGTTGTTCAGCTTGAAGTGTTTGTTTACTGGTGATGGTTAAGTTTGTCTATAACTTATTGGTGTAACACATAAAACTTGTATGAATATCTTTGCACTGAAAAAAATCTGTAAAAATGTCTTGTGAACATTAGTAGCAATTATTGTTCTAGTAATAGATCGTTATGGGACTCATCTGGAGTTAAGAGGCCGCAGAGTTTATGCCGTTTTATTCCCACTGACAGCACCTTTCAGAGTGTGGATTAACACACACACACACACACACACACACACACACACACACAAGTATTGTGATTGTGTCTTAGTAGAACCAACACATCAGGACTGTCCTGAAAACGATTCTCAGAGACCATTAGCTAACAAATTCTGGGTTTGGTCATCACTCTCTAGGCCTTGTGGATACTTCCAGGCCCTATTTCTAGGCCCTATTTTTTTGTTTTAAATTTACTATAATCATTTTTTTCTTTTTTAGTTTTTTTGAGAGAGACAGGGTTTCTCTGTGTAGTTTTGGTGCCTGTCCTGGATCTCGCTCTGTAGACCAGGCTGGACTCAAACTCACAGAGATCTGCCTGACTCTGCCTCCCAAGTGCTGGGATTAAAGGTGTGCGCCACTGCCCAGCTGGCACATACCTTTAATCCTAGCACTCGGGAGGCAGAGATCCATCTGGATCTCTATGAGTTCAAAGCCACCCTAGACTACATGTGATTGATTCAGTCTAGGAGAGAAACAGCCAGGCAGTGGTGGCACACACTTTTAATCCCAGTACTTGGGAGTCACAAGCCTTTAATCCCAGCACTTGAGATCTCATGCCTCTGCTACCTGTATTTGGGAAGCACACACGCCATTAATCTCAGCACTAGGAAGTGATATGGCTGGGCGGAGAAAGGTACATAAGGCTTGAAGAGACAGGAACCAGAGCTGAAGCTGAGGACTCAGAGGCTTTCAGTCAGAGGACTCGTGGAGATAGGATCTCGCCTTCCATTCAGCCTGAGGATTCGGTAGTGGTGAGAAGTTTCTCTAGTGGCTTGTTCCTTTGTCTCTGATCTTTCAGCATTTACCCCAATATCTGACTTTGGGTTTTTATTGTAAGACCATTTAGGAATTGATGCAATGTACATCCTTCGCTCTTGTGGTTTTGTTTTATTGAGAAAGAACCTCACACTCACTAGGGATGAATGTGGACTCTTCATTATCTTCCTCTATCTTCCAAATGCTGGGGTTCCAGGTGGATGCCTCCATGGCCAGTTAGGTCCTACATCTTAATACGATGTCCTAGTTAATTGTACAGGTTATAAATGTCCATAATGCTGCTCTAAGTACTGACTGCTCTGTAATTTTTCTCTTAAGGTGAATGCCTGGGTGGTGCTTTGTACTGGAAGGATCTTGCCATCATTGCCCAAAAAATTGGGTTCTGTCCTCCGCGTTTGGTCACTGCCAATCTCATTACAGTTCAAAACAAGGAACTAGAAAGTGTCATTGGTAAGAAGCAACAGCAGAGACCCTGTGACTGCCGTGGGAATGGTTTCCGTTCAGTGCTCAGTTAGTTTAAGGAGCAATTATTTTTTTAAATGAGCATTAGTGTTTTGCCTGCATGCATGTCTGTGTAAGGGTGTCAGGTCCCCTGGAACTGGAGTTACAGTTATGAGCTGCCATGTGGGTGCTGAGAATTGAAACCAGGTCCTGTAGAAGAGCAGTCAGTGCTCTTAACCCCTGAGCCACCTCTCTAGTCCCCTTATTGAGTGATTCTTACCGAGGGAAACTGCATCATCTGAAAGTGTCCACCTTGTCTCCTGAATAATTTCAGCTCCTCCCTCAGAGAGATATTTAATAAAGTATTTTATTTCAGTAAATAGACTGAAGCGCCCAGAAAGAGAATTGATGGCGTGCAGTAAAGGAATTCACCTTTACATTATGCGCCATCCTCGTTTGTTGAATGCCGCCGGGGTGCAGGAAGTGAGCCCTGTGTGTCTGCTTTCAGGTGACTGTCGCTTTGTGTCTGCCACGTTTCGACTCTTCAAACTCCCAAAGACAGAACCAGCTAAAAGATGCCGAGTTGTTTACAAAGGAGGAATCACAGGGCATGAGAGAGAACTAATCTTTGATGCAAATTTCACATTCAAGGTAAAAAGCTGCCCACGGGGATGGCAGTATGGCTCAATAGTAGAGCACTTGCCCGCATGTGCAAGGTCCCATGTTCCATCTTCAGGTTTGTGGGGTGGGCAATACTGGTACCTGTTATTTCTGTAGCGTTCTTACCCTTGTGCCTCCCCACCTCCACCCCAGCCACAGCATCTTTCCTGGATCTTCAATTTGACCTTAAATTGCTTCTCACTATTCTGATGTTGGTTGGTTTGTGTGTAATTTTGTTTTTCCCTTAATTGAAGTCTTCATTTTGCTTACAGTAGAGTAATAAACTTTTTATACTTTCTTTTGACCAGTGATTCAAAGGCATAGAAATTAACAGACCCTTTTAATTAGTTTAAAATATTTTAGGTTAGCCGGGCGGTGGTGGCGCACGCCTTTAATCCCAGCACTCGGGAGGCAGAGCCAGGTGGATCTCTGTGAGTTCGAGGCCAGCCTGGTCTACAAAGTGAGTTCCAGGAAAGGCGCAAAACTACAGAGAAACCCTGTCTCGAAAAACCAAAAAAAAAATAAATAAATAAAAAAAAATAATAAAATATTTTAGGTTTAAGAAGTGCTTCAGGTTTGGAATTCCTAATAAGAACATATTATCTGAATGAATACCCAGTGGCAAACCCTGTAAGATGCTGGTATAGAGGGGCAGGGATTATCTTCAGAGCACCTCAGCTCTTGAGAGGAGGGCAGAGACACTCTGCTTTGTATTTCTGTGACATCCATTAGATGTCTGGTTGATTTTCCTTCTATGAGGACTTTGTCAAATGCCCATTACATGAGGTCCACAGCCTTTGGAATATTTTGACATATTTACTCATTCTGGGCCACATCCTGGAAGGCCATCTTTTAAGATCTGCACGGCTGTCAGACCCTCCGGATAATTAATGGCATCCCCGCCATTCCAGTGATGTGCTCCTATTCCATCTGTTCCTTCAGAAAACTTACTAGGCTCCCCAGAAGGCTCCTGGGGAGCCTTTTTGGGTCCCCTCTGTCTTTTGGCCTCTTTCTCCCCCCGGGCTGTCTCCTGCGCTTGCCTTCCTCCCCTTTCTTTAGACTCTCGCTTTTCACACTCAATCTTCTGCAGTTTTCTAGGCATCTGCTGAATTTCTTTCAGTCTTCATCATAATCCAGTTCACAGGTAAAGGCGAGATGGCAGGCTCTTCTCCCCAGTGCTCTAAGAGTCTGCATGCCTGGGTTTTATTTCAGTGGCTCTATCGTTGTCTTGAATGGAGGCATTTGGCTTTTGTGAGATGATAAGGACGCTGATTTCCTTGACGCACTGAGTGGCCATCATTTAGGGCTTTGGTGACGGTCTCTTTCTTCTCATTTACCTGATGGTCCTTGGGTATTTCCATCCCATCTTTCTCCCGACTTTTTCCCCAAGTTAGGGTCTTACTATATATAGCTCTTGATGGCCTAGAACTCACTGTGCCGACCAGGCTGCGCTTGAACTCAGATCCGCCTGCCTCATCTCTGTCCCCTGAGTGCTGGGATTGAAGGCTTGTTCCACCACAGCTGGTGTCACCCTCGTTTCCTGAGGGCTGTCGGCAGCTGTGCCTTCATCTTCAGTTGTTAAATCACTCTTGTCTCCATGGCTGGTACGTCTTTGTTTCCTGTCTCTTGCGGTGGTTCGATTCCTGGAGATTGTCTTCTGCGTTAGTTGGTAAGTAGCAGGCGGCACTTACCACCCCACCACGCTCTTTCCCACTCCATCTGGAAGCATGTTTCCTCGGTGTATAGGACACTCAGATCTGGCTCACACGCTTCTCAAATACTGGAAGCTCTCACTCTGTAGAAGCCCAAGGTGAGGAGGTGAGTGGAGACTGAGGAGGCTGTAACTGATCACAGGTCTGGGTGTCACACTGCATGATCTCCTGCTTGTGTGTATTTATTAAGTAAATCAGAAAAGAATTTTTCTCAATATTATAAAAATACTTTTAATTGCATTAAGGCTAAAAAAAAATAGTATAATAATGCCAGGTGGTGGTGATGAACACCTTTAATCCCAGCACTCAGGAGGCAGAGGCAGGTGGATCTCTGTGAGTTTGAAGCCAGCCTGGTCTACAGAGTGAGTTCCAGGACAGCTGGAGCTGTTACACAGAAAAGCCCTGTCTTGCAAAAACAGACAAACAAACCCCCGCCCCCCCCGAAAATCTAAGTTTATTTTAAGTGTGTGGGGGCGGGTTATGCATATGAATACCGTGTCCACAAAAGCCCGAAGTTGTTGGATCCCCTGGAATTAGACCTGCAGGTACTCAGGAACCACCTGACCGGGTGCTAGGAACCCACCTCAGGTTGTCTAGAAGAGCGACAAGCACTCTCAACCACTTTTCAGTTCCTCCTCTTGTCTATTATTACTTGCGTGTGTTTATGTGTGTGCACATGTGTGTGTTTATACACGTGTGGAGGTTGACTTTGTCTTCATGGATCATTCTTCATCCTTTCTATTGAGGTTCCTTGAACCTAAAGCTTGCTGATTTGACTAGTCTAGCTACCAGCATGCTTCAAGGATTTCCTTTTTTTAAACTCCTGAGACAGGGTTTCTCGGTGTAACCCTGGTTATTCTGGAACTCACTCTGTAGACCAGGCTGGCCTTAAACTCAGAGATCCACCTGCCTCTGCTTCTCAAGTGCTGGGGTTTAAGGCGTGTGCCACCACTGCCCAGCTGCTTCAGGGATTTCTTGTGTCCAGATTCCAGCAGGAGGGTTCCAGCCAGGCTGCCGTGCCCACGTGGCATTTATGTGGATGCTGAAAATTCGAACTCTAGTCCTCATGCATACCACAAGTGCTTTCTTTCCCTGAGCCGTCTTCACAGCTCCAAGCATCCTTAAAAAAAAAAAAAAGACTGACTTCTGTGTGTGTTTTGTCTGCATGTATGTATGTGTGCACCACATATAAGCCTAGTGCCCATAAAGGCCAGAAGAGGTCATTTGATCCCCTGGAACTGGAGTTAACAGATGCTTGTAAGCAACCATTTTGGGGCTGGCAACTGAACCTGGGTTCTCTGCAAGAACAGCACCCCAAATGTATATCCTCATACATAAAAAGAAAACCACAGGGCTTACTGTAAAACTGTATGTGGTTCTGTTTCATCAGCAGCCTCGCACTTTGAATTGACTCTGTCTGATCATTTCCTCTTTAGCTTGATTTAATCTTGTGTTATTTTGTTTATTGTGGCCACAGGAGCGATGGGTTGTACTAGATACACAATGTATAGCCTAGGTGTGTACAAAGCTATAACATCTAAGCTTGTGTGAGTACAAATTTATGGTGTTCACATAGTGACAAAATAGTGTAATGGCAGGCATACTTCTTTTAAAACATATACACCCCTGATATACATATGTAAATTATAGACATGATAACTCCCGCCTTAAATATTTCAGCCTGCATCTCATATGAATGAAATATTTTTCTAATTACAGTACTATAATCACGTCTAAGAACTTGGATAAAGCTTCATTCAGACATTCTATAGAGAGACCAGTGAGCATATGGAAAAGCAGTATGGCACAGCAGTGTCATGTAATCAAGCCGTTTGTAAACAGAGGGCTTTGTTTTCTCAATGTAGAAAAGTACAGTCTTTGGAATCAAATACCCAGGCTCATATTCTAGCTCTGAGAAAAGTAGAATGTCACTGATGCAAAAGTGAAGTTCTTTCCTCGAAGAGATAAGAGCTGGTTTATTTTGGAACCAAATATGATGACCCTGGTCCAAGGAGCATAGGTTCAGATTTCCCCAAACAGCACATCACACTATGGGAAAGGTTCCAGAACAAAGACATGTATAAATTAAAGTGTCTACCAAATACATTGGTGGAAGCCACGGGTAGGCGGTTGTGGTAAGCCAGACAGGGGAATATTCTGCTATAGGTTTCTGATGCTATTTGATGACATTCTTGATTTTGGGTTGGTGAAGCTGATGATCTGCTGAGAATACATTGTAAAGTTCAATAGTCAGAAGAATGTCAGGGTAGACACTGGTGTGAGCAACAGATGTATGTCAGGGGACTAAAAACATGTCAAGATGATCTGGTTCTGGTCTGCAGCATTTTCACTCCCCACAGTCTTGAAGTTCAATCATTTGGCCTTGTAGACTCTTGAACATGGGTGCACAGACAGCGTTTCTCCACACACCTCTCCTCCGCATCTTCCTCCGCATCCTCCTCCACCTTCCTTCTGCTTCTTCTTCTTGGGTCTTCACAGTTCCCCCTGTTGGCCAAGCATCACATTTTGTGCATGCCAAGGCCCAGTATTGTTTCTGTCCTGTGGTGCTGGGAAGTCTTGTTCCTAGAATCTGATAGAAATGAGGCTGAGTAGGCATGGAAGCAGTCTTCAGGAGAGAGAAAAAATTGGTAAGATTTTTAAGGAAGATATCCCTGGATCCTATCACCGAATCTACCAGCCATGATCTGGGTCTGGTTTTGTTTCTCTTTTTCACCCCTGTATCTGACATAATGTTTATATGTGATATATAATAGACTATAACACCTAGAATTAAAATAATAAAGAACACAGTGTGGCCTAAAGAAGCAAAAGTATTAGATGAGAAAAGCAAGCATTTTAAACAGCCAAAGAATCCCCGGATGTCCCCATTCTCCTTAACCAGACTGAGTGCCTGACTCCCCACGCCCACGGTCTTCTCCCTAATGAATTATTTTATAATTATTTTGTAATAACCGAACCAGGGTCCTCTGGAAGAGCAGCAGGTTCTCCTAACTATTGAGCCACCTCTCTAGCCCCCATCTTTAGTTTTGATATAACCTCTAAAAATTTTAAATTGCTTTTCCATTTATTTTTTCTTATCATCTTTTAACTTAGATGCAGTTCTATGTAGAGGTCTTATAAGTTTTGTAAATTACTAATTTTATTATTTATTTTTAAAGATGATTTAAATGTCAGTTAAAGCAGATTCATATTTATGATTTAAAAAGTTTTTTTTCTAATTGAACTGGGTGTGGTGCATGTCTTTAATCCCAGTACTTGGGAGTTAGAGGCAGGAGGATCTCTAAGAGTTGGAGGCTAGCCTGGTCTCAAAAAAAAAAAAAAAAAAAGAAAGAAAGAAAAATTGTATTACCTAGGACTTCTAGTTAGTGTGCAGAATAAACCAACTTAGCGGTTAATTGAGTCTGGAGAGGTGCCCAGTGGTTAAGAGCGTTTGTTGCACTTGCAGAGGACCTGAGTTTCCTTTCCAGCCCCACATGATGTCTTCCAACCACCTGTAATCCCAGTTCCGTTGGATCTTGCACTTTGAATTTACATGCTGGAATCAACTAGCTGGAATACCAAGTAATCTGTTTTTTCTGAACATTTCTCTTTACTTTAGATATGGAAGGAGTGTCAGGGGAAAAAAAAAGACTCCCAACAAATGATCAAACCAAACCACTGCTAGAAATCAAATGCCCTCTGATTTGAGCAAACAAACAGGGCAGAAACCTAAAAACTTTCAAAACAGACAACACTTGCGAGCAAACAAAACCAGATAGTCAACAAATAGGATTCCAAGAACCAGTTCAAAATAAACAAATGGATGAGCATCCAAAGCAGAAGGACTCCTCAGTAGCTGCCAGAGGATGCTTAGATGCAGGGTCCTCATTGTGAGATTTTTTTTTTTTTTTTTTTTTTTTTTTTTTTTTTTTTTTGGTTTTTCGAGACAGGGTTTCTCTGTGTAGCTTTGCGCCTTTCCTGGTACTCGCTTTGGAGACCAGGCTGGCCTTGAACTCACAGAAATCCGCCTGCCTCTGCCTCCCGAGTGCTGGGATTAAAGGCGTGCGCCACCACCGCCCGGCTTGTTTTTGTTTTTTAAGCAAAATCTGAGGCTGGGAATGTAGCTCAGTTGGTAGGGTGCTTGCTTAGCATGTATGAAGCTGGTGTTTAATCCACAGCACTGCATGAAAACAGGCATGGTGGTACATGCCTGTCATCCCAGGAAGGTAGAGGCAGGAGGATTAGGAATTCAAGTGTTAATCCCACTGATCTCAAAGAAGACCACTACCACAGATCAAAGTCAAACTTGAAGCAAGCTTTAATTAAATACTGGCCAGGTGGATGGGCACTGGCCAGGTCCATACCCGGGTTCCTGGGAAATGGCCCCAAATCAAGTATGTCAAAGGCTTAAGGAGGAAAACCCGTAGTTCAATGCATTTCCCACCAGGCCCAATCGGGGTGAGTGTACATCCTGACATATTTTCTGCCTACATACCTCCAGCCCACATGTGATCAAGCACATCCGGTATATATGGGTCAAACAAACCTGTTTAGGGGAGTGAAAACATGTGGCTTGTTATCTCCCATAAACAATAGCCTCCAGCATTTCAGGAACTATCTGTCCTTGGGCAAGGGGTTTGCAGACCAGAGGCATTTTTGTTGTTTCATGAATCTCTTAGGCATAGTAATTAAAATTTAAAATGTAAGGTTGGCTCTCACACAAGGTCATTCCTGGGTACACAGCAATTTCAAGGCCAGCCTAAATGACAAGAGATACTGTCCAAAAAGAGAGAGAGAGAGAGAGAGAGAGAGAGAGAGAGAGAGAGAGAGAGAGAGAGAGAGAGAGAGAGAAAGAAAAAAAAAGAAAAAGAAAAAGAAAATCTTACTGAAAATGCTATATTGGGTATGGTGGCACCCATTTGCAGTCTGAGCACATATGAGGTTTAGGAGGAATTGCAGGTTCAAGGCCAGCTTGGGATATAAGGTGAGTTCCAGATCAGCTTGGGATACATCATTGGATTTTGTCTTTAAAATAAATTTTAGAAGGGGGAATCAGATAGATGGTCCAGTGCTTGCTATACGACCACCAGGACCAGAGTTCAGATCCCAGCACCACGTGCCAAGCAGCTGTCCTGTGTACATAGATCATACCAGCTCCAAAGTGAGGCAGAGACAGGAGGGCTGCTGGGGCTCACTGGCTGCCAACCCGGCTGAGAGAATGTGAATGCCATGCTCAGGGGGAGACTGCCTGAAGGAACAGACAGACAGTAATAGGAGGCATTACCCAGTACTTTCTTCTGGCCTCTACCTGTGCTTAGGCAACATGCCTTCAAACATGTGCATACACGCATACAAAAATGCTTTTTAAAAAGTTTAAAAATTAATAAAAGAGAAAATACTTACTGAATAACATGCATTGCTTTCTATCAGTGGTTCTCAACCTTCCTAATGCTGTTTACTACAAACCCTTTACTACAGTTCCTCATGGTGTGGTGACCCCCAACCATAAAATTACTTCGTTGCTACATCATAACTGTAATTTTACTACTGTAATGAATCATAATGTAAATATTTGTGTTTTTGGATGGTCTTAGGTGACCCCTGTGAAAGGGTCATTAGACCACAAAGGGTCATTATAACCCACAGGTTGAGAACCACCGCTTTTATATAACTCACTTCCCAAGCATCTTGGGAGTCACAGAAATATGCTTCAGAAACAACTGGTCCAAAGTTTCCGTTTAACTGATGAAGTAAAGTTCCGGGTGAGATGGTTTCCCTAGCTGTCTCTGAAAAGACATTAAATACTGAGGCAGTGTCATTTAAGAAAAGTGATCCTGACACTGCTCAGTTGACCATCTGCAAATAGACATGACATCAGTAGAGGGTCTGAGGACAGGAGAGTAGCACGTTAGAGGTTGGTGTGGTCCTTTTCCCCGAAATGCCACACTTAGTAAGCTCCTGGATATTTTCTAATAAATTCAAAGTGCTGGGCTGGCAGGATGGCTCAGCAGGTAAGGGTGCTTGCCTGGGGAAGCCTGGCACCTGAGTTTGATTCCTGGAACCAGAAGTGCTAAAGTGACGTTTTTGATACTCACTTTTCGCTGCCCTTTAGGAAGGCGAAGCTGTTGACGTGGATGGAGAGACTGCAGCTGTCTTGAAGAACTCACGTTTTGCTGGAGAGTTTCTCTTCACACCTGTCGGAGCCATGCTGCTGGCTACCCAGGGCTGTTCTGAATTAGAAACAAAGGTTGGTTTGACTTTCAGTTCTCTACTTTAAACAGGGCCCTTAAGACAACCACAAACTCCAGGCTCTGCTGAGACAATAGTTTTCTTTGCCGCTGACTACCACAACTAATACGTATAAATAATTTGATTTGATTTGACACATTCTTTTTATTTAAAGATTTATTTTTATTTTATGTGTATGGGTGCTTTGCCTGCATGTATGCCTGTGCACTGTGAATCCCCTGGAACTGGAGTTACAGACAGTTGTGAGCTGCCATGTGGGTGCTGGGAGTCAAAGCTGGATCCTCTGGAGAAGCAGCCAGTGCCCTTAACCCCTGAGCCATCTCTCCAGCCCCTAAATTCTTTTTTCCCCCTAATTCTTAGCAAGTCAATAATCATCTCTGAGTTTTGGGAATACCTGTGAGTTAACTGAATGGAAGGTATCTGTAAGTCCTCTACAATTGTGTTTGTGTATATACTTTCTGGGAAGCTGTCGAAAGGGCCCAGATACAAAAAGATTCAGTTACCACACAAACACACTACATGCTGGACCCAGTACCACATGTCCATAACTCTGCTGACTAAGAATAAGGGGGAGCATTACTTGAATCCAGGAGTTCAACCAACGTGGTAACAAAGGAAGACCTTGTCTCAAAAACAAAACAAAACAAAACAAACCCTAACCCCAGGTGAACATTATAAACGGCCTATATTTCCTTCTGTTAATTGCCAATGCTAAGATAAAATTAAATAATTCTTACCAATTTAACCACTTAGAAACTTAAAAAGATTTTTTAAAACTATTATTATTTGATTTTATTTCTGTGGGTATTTTGTTTACATGTCTGTCTGTCTGTGTACCACATTTGTGCCTGGTGCCTGCAGAGGCCAGAAGAGGGCATCCAGTTCCCCTGGGACTGGAGTTTTAGACAGTTATGAGCTGCCATGTGGGTGCTGGGACTTGAATCTGTGTCCTCTGGAGGTGCAGCCAATGCTGAGCATCTTTCCAGCACTAAAAACGTTTTTTAACATTTTTAATTAATTAATTTATATGTTTATTAGTGTGTTTTTAACATTTTAAATTAATTTATGTTTATTAGTGTGTGTTTTCAACATTTTTAATTAATTAATTTATATATTTATTTTTGTGTGTGTGTGTGTGTGTGTGTGTGTGTGTGTGTGTGTGTGTGTGTGTGTGTGTGTAGGTGTTCAGAGGTCAGAGGATGGCTTATGGGAGTTGGTTCTCTTTTTCTATCACATGGGGTTTAGAGATTTGAACTCAGGTCACCAGCTTTGACAGCAAGCACCTTTACCTGCTGAGCCCTTTCATTGGCTCCCCATTTGACATTCTTTTTTGTTGTTGTTTTTCGAGACAGGGATTCTCTGTGTTGTTTTGGTGCCTGTCTTGGATCTGGCTCTGTAGACCAGGCTGGCCTGGAACTCACAGAGATCCGCCTGGCTCTGCCTCCCGAGTGCTGGGATTAAAGGCGTGTGCCACCACCGCCCGGCAATTTATGCTTTTAGAAATAATAACTCGGTAGCATTTAGTTCACTCACGAGGTCGTACAGCCATCAACACTCTACTTCCAAAACTTTCACCACCTCATACCCATTGAGCAGCGATTTCCAGCCCTCCTCCCACTGCCTCTCAGCAGTGACTGGTTGGCTTCGACTCTGGTTCTGCCTCTTTTGGACATTTCATATGGCTGAATTCATACACACATGGCCTTCTGTATCCGACTTTTTTTCACCCGTGTTTCCAAGGCTGCTTCTTCAATGGGAGCATGCATCAGAGCTTCACTGCTCGGGGTAGAGCTAGAGCACATTTGTGTATCTGTCCTCCACTGGATGTGTCATCCTGCTTTTTGGAGACTAAATAGTGCTATCAGGAACATGGATGTGCAAATGCTTGCTTGAGTTTCTGCTTTCAAAGATTTTGCATATATACCTAAGAACGGAATTGTTTTGTCTACATTTCTAACTTTTGGTGGCTTTTGATGTTGTTTGTTTCTTTGTTTTTGAGACAGGATCTCACTGTGTAGCCCTGGCCAGCCTGGAACTCTGTATGCAGACCAGTTGGCCTTGAACTCACAGAGATCCACTTGTTCCTGCCTCGAGAGTACTTTGATTAAAAGGAATGTGCTACCACGTCCATGCATATTCCTAGCGTGTAAAGAACCACCGAGCTGTTTTCCATAGTAGCTGCGTCACTTTGTATCCCTAGCACTGTCACCGGAACACAGCAGTCCTGTTGCCGGTCACTACACGTGGCAAGAGCAGGCACAGAATTGAATCTCTAAGTTGGGCTTCTGCAGAAGGCAGGTGATCTGAGAAGGCCATGGCCTGATACCCTGAAAACTGCCTTCCCTTATCTACAGCCAACAGCCTCCGCAGAGCAGGGGGAGCAGAGGCGATCATTCCCCAGCGTTCTCTCCCTCTTGTCAGGGGGCCAGCCTTGTCCCTGAGATCTGTGATGTCAGCGCCTCTGTCCTTATCATCTCTTGCCCTCTTTCCTTGTCCTCTGAACAGTTGGGCCATCTTTATTGTCCTTGTCTCTCCAGGGCCATCTGGCCTAGGGAGGTAACTCGGAACAAACAGGCCACTAGCAAGAACAGGTCCATGCACACTCCTTTCTGTCACACGAGGTACAGATGTGCCCTCAGAATGTAGAGTCTAAAGGTGTTCTCTTGCGTCTCTCCGGGCCCGTTGTGAGTAGTAACCTCTGTAAGTCTGTACTGCTGTGCAGCCAGGAGTTGGCATGGCTTCTCACCAGTATGGGAGCTTTCCAGAATAAGCTGTCACACCAGTGCCCACCCTGTGCAACAGCAAACAGTTGTGCTAAGAAAGATTTTTAAGAAAGGAAAGCTAGGAAGGCTTCCCAGATACTGGAAGGTTCAGGAGCCAGAAGGCGAGAAAAGACAGATGGGAACTGAAGAAACTGGCCTCCTTCCATTACCTCAGAGATGATTTCATGAACCATCTTAACCTGTTGTTAGGCCTATTTTATTCATTTGGCTTTTTTTTTTTTTTTTTTTTTTTTTTGGTTTTTTGAGACAGGGTTTCTCTGTGTAGCTTTGTGCTTTTCCTGGATCTCGCGCTGTAGACCAGGCTGGCCTCGAACTCACAGAGATCCACCTGGCTCTGCCTCCCGAGTGCTGGGATTAAAGGCGTGCGCCACCACCGCCCGGCTCATTTGGCTTTTTAAATTTTATTTATTCATTTTTTTTTTGAGACAGGGTTTCTCTGTGTAACAGTCCTGTCCTGAAATTTGCTCTGTAGACCAAGCTGGCCTCAAATTCACAGAGATCCACCTGCCTCTGCCTCTGGAGTGTTGGGATTAAAGGTGTGTGCCTGACTTATTCATTTGTTTTTTAATGTTAGATTTTCTTTTTAATTTTGCTTTTTTGCATATGAATGTTTTGCCTGTATGTATGTTTGTGTACCATGTATGTGCCTGGTGCCCACAGAGGTCAGAAGAAGGCATCTGGTCCCCTGGGACTGGAGTTAAGATGGTTGTGAGGCACCTTGTGGGTGCTGGTGATGGTACGTGGGGGGCAAGTTGGATGGCTTTGATCTGAGGTTCTTTCTAGCTTACCAGTGTTGAACCTTTCTCTGTGCTTAGTGGCCGTTTGCGAATCTTCTTTGAGGAAGCGGCTCATCATGTCTTGGCCCATTTTTAAATTGGGTTGGTTGCCTTTTGCTATTGAGTTGTAAGAGTTGTTTTTTTTTTTTTTTTTTATGTTTGTATTCTGTCTGTTTTGTTTTGTGGTGCTGGCGTTAAACCCAGGACCTTACACACTGCAGGCAAGCTCTGACTACTGACCTACACCCCAGACTTGAGCATGTATGTTCTGAACCCCAGGCCTTGTCAGATACATAGCTCGTTACTGTCTTGATAGTATTCCTAGTTGCACAAAAGGTCTTTAAGTTTGGTTTTGAGTAACTCTTTTTTTTTTTTTTTTTTTTTTTTTTAGTTGTTGGTACTTCCTGGAGCATGTCTAAGAATCTATTGTCAAATCTGTTATGAAGGTTCTCTTCCTTTTTTTTTAATTGCTTTGCTTTCACATCTTGAAATTTAGCATAAATACTGCGATAGGGTGATGGTATATGTAGCCTGTTGCTTGAGTGGGTTGCCCTGAGGAGCCTTGAAGACAACCTTTTCTATGTGAAATTCGTGTATTTGATCTTATGACCACTCTGTCAGGGTTGCAGGCAAGGATGCAAGGTGCCTTTAGGAAGTCCTTGGGCACAGTGGGCAAAAGTTTGCTATGGCCAGATCATCACATCCATTTGTGCCAAGCTGCAGAGCAGGGAATATGTGATAGAGGTCCTATGAGGGACCAAGTTTAGGTTCTCAGACCACCAGAAGATCCATGTCTTAGAGAAGTGGGGCTTTTACAAGTTCAATGAGACTACGTCTGAAAACATGTTGTCTGAAGAATGACTCATGGCCAACGGCTGTGCGGTCATGCATGATTTCCTAGACAGGTGATGGGCATTCTTTTAGGCGGGCTTCCACAGGGCTGTCCCTCCTCAATCATGCTCACCAGTAAATACTGCATTCTAGTCATACATGAAAAGATTTGTTATTTATTTTATTTTATGTGTATGAGTGTTTTGCCTGCATGTATGATGTCTGTGCACCATGTGTGTGCCTGGTGCTTGTGGAGGTTAGAAGACACTGTTGGATCCCTTGGAACTGGTGTCACAGATGGTTGGGACCCACCATGTAGGTGCTGAGAACCAAATCTACCTAAAGCAAAAATTTAAAATAGAAGTGTGACCCCCCCCCCCCTTTTTTTTTCTTTTGAGACAGTTTTATGTTGCCCAGATTGGCATGAACTCCTGACCATCCTGTCTCTACCTCCCAAATTCTGGATTACAGACATGGACCACCATGCTAGATTCAAAGTGACTATTTGTGGTTGGGGAAGGAGGGAGCCCCCAAGGACTAAGAAGAGAAACGCCCAGGAAACAGCCACGTGGACTGGTCGGTGTCCGTGTGTGTGCATGTGGGGTGGT